GATTATTCATAACCAGTAATTTATCACCTTATTTGCTGGTAAATTGTTGTTATTTTTTCCCTCTGATGGAAGCCTTTATTTCATGAAGGGATAAGCGAGCTCTGCCTTCAGATAGATGTCATTCATACATACCTAACTCATGTTACTAGGATAGCTACAGTGGTGATATAACTCAGCTGCAACCAGGTAGCCACATCTCCTCAATGCCACCTAGACTTGAAAGAGTACCTTGAGAAAATGTGCACAGCTGGGTCTTGGGAGTTTTTCTTCACTGTCTTTTCAAGTCAGGGGTACGCATAACAGGCTATTTTCTGAAGTAAATTGGCGTAAAGTGGTGTTTAGGAATCAGGGATATAATAGTTTATTTGCCCAACTCAGCCTTTAACTGCCTCACGGTGCTACCTCTGGCACAAAATGAAAACCTTTTGAATACCAACGGAATGATTTGGGATGATATGGAACAAATTAAGTGAGGTCCTTCCCAGCTTCTCTCAAACGCAGAGTGAGGATCCATTTCCAGCTCTGTATTTCACTAGCCGGGTAACTTTGAGTAAACCCTTTTACCTGGTGATTGAGGGATGAATGTATTCTGCATGTAGGTAGGCTTTGAATGGTGAAGAGAGGGCAAGGAGGGAACCTGTTTGTAGGCATGTGTCTGTGGCCACTTCCCTTCTTCTAAAACTGAATGTTTCCATCTTAGATTTTATGTATCACTGCACCGCCCCAATTGTCTGATGGTGTGTTGTTTTTGGCTGCCTGCTTGGTTTATTCAATGCCCCTGCAATTCACAGAGTCTGGGAGTTCCACTGGGATTTCCCCGGCAGTAGAGAGGACAGAGCATGCACTAATGTGAAGGTCTGCAGCTTAGCATTGCCAGTGTGAAGGTACCGCAGCTGATGGGTTCAGATGGTTTTCTCGAGGAGGGTCTCCACCTAACCATCTAAGTCAGATGCTCTTTCATTGTTTTAAAAAGTCTAGAATGGAAAGGATCTCCTTCCCACCCTCTTGCCCCCACCCCTGCCACACACACACACATGCGTGCACACACACACACATACACATTTTATTCTTTCCATTTTGCCATCTTCCTTAAGCATGAAAGTTTTGCCTTCTCTCTTAATCTGAACTTATTTTTACTGTGACTTACTTAGAAACATTCTTCTTTGTTTCCTTGCCTGTTAAAATGGTGAGTTATGTCAGAATTCCCATAGTAGTTTTTAGTCTGATTTAAGATAGTTATTGAGAGTTTTTCATTCCAACTATCTTAACACGTTATGTTTCCTTCCAAAGGTCCCGTTTTCTATTGTTTATCACGTGTGTCTGTTTTCTAGACATTTACCCATTCCTCCACATTGTTTTAAAATGTGAACTCCACTCTAAAGAATGCAGTAAGGAGGTCGGCCCCATGGCTTAGCAGTTAAATGCACGCACTTGGCTACTGGCAGCCTGGGTTCGGATCCCGGGCGCACACTGAGGCACCGCTTGTCGGGCCGTGCTGAGGCGGCATCCCACGTATAGCAACTAGCAGGATGTGTAACTATAACATACAACTATCTACTGGGGCTTTGGGGAGAAAAAGGGAAAAAAAGGAAGAGGATTGGCAATAGATGTTAGCTCGGGGCTGGTCTTCCTCACAAAAATGAAATAAAATGAAATAAAATGAAATGAAATAAAATAAAAAAAGCCACTGTCAGAATTTGGGGGAAAAAAAAAAGAATGCAGTAAGAATCCTATGATGGTTGAGCCTGAAGAACTGAAAACTTTGGTCCAACTTAATAACTGAGCAAAATAAAGCAGATAATTATTATGAGGTTGTCATTACAACTTTTTAAAATCTACCTCATCTTACCTAGAATATACAGTCTAGATTTCCATTGTTTTCAAGTTATTTCTTTGAAAAAATAGATTCTGTTTTCCTTTTCCCCCTTTCAGGATTGTCATCAACCTGTGCCTCACTATATTTAATTTCTGTTACAGAAATAGAATCAAGGGGCCAACCAGGTGGCATAGTGGTTAAATTTGCGCACTCTGCTTTGGTGGCTCGGGGTTTGTGGGTTCAGATCCCAGGCATGGACCTACACACCGCTCATCAAGCCATGCTGTGGTGGCGTCCCACATACATGATAGAGGAAGATGGGCACAGACGTTAGCTCAGGGACGATCCGTCTCTCCCAAAAAAAAAGAAATAGAGTCAAGAAGAATATCGTTGGAAGGGACCTCAGAGACAGGCAGTGTACTTTTTATCTAAAACTAATTTGCTGTTGAATGTGAACTGTTTTTATGGCTTTTTTGGGCTTCTGTTTCTACCTTTATTCTATTATCTCTAAGATTTCATTCCGTTCTGGTACTGTGTAATTCTCTGACAATTCTCTGGGACATATCAGAGTCTGGTGAAGCATAAGCTGCTCAGAAATCCCCTTTTAAATTGGGTATGAAGAAGGCATAGGTCCAGATAGAACATTTGACCCTGAAAACTATGCTGTGTACTAGAATTTGTTAGGTCTCCATCAAGCTAGACCTCCTTTGCTGATCATCTAAGATCTCCTTGTCAGCATTCATCTCATATGTTATGCCTTTTAAAGGCAGAAAATAACTTGGTGACAATTCTTTTTAGTTAACAGGTGTTAAATATTTTTTAGTGTAGTTTTTGGCCAAATGAAGGCAAAGTGAGTTTCTTAATTGTGGATGCACATTAGAATTATCTACGTTTTAAAGGAATACTGGCCTCTGACTCCTCCTCCCCACTCCCTTTCCATCATCCCAAGATCCTGATTGAATTAGTGTAAGATAAAGTTTAGCATCAGCATTTTTAGAAAAGCTTCCTTGGTGATTCTAATATGTAGACAATGCTTAGAACTATTGGGTAAAGTTAATAAAGGTTTATGAGACTTACAATCCTAATAAAGATATGGAAAAAGTATGTCTCTAGATGTGCACACACAGAGGGTAAGAGATGTAGAAATGTTTCTATATGACATAAATCACTGAACCTTTCTAATGGTCTCAGGACCTATAGCATCAACATCACCTGGGAATTTATTAGAACTGCAAATTATCAGGCCCCATCCCAGACCTACTGAATCAGGAGCTCTGGGGTGAGATCCAGCAATCTATGTTAAAGAGACCTTCCAGAGATCCTGATGAACTCTAAAGTTTGAGAACCATCAGCACAGAAAGTTGTTGTAGGAATAAGAGGTATCCTATGAAAAATCTTAGTACAGTGCCTGGTGCATAGTGAGGGTCCAAAAAGCAGAGTACTCTAAAGACAGTGTGTTTGACTGCTTTGTAGTCTGAATATGGCTGGGAGCTACATTTGACAACTGTTAGTTACTCTTCTAGTTCTACTAACGGCAAATATGTAAGGCAAATGGAGCACAAGTGAACCATCTTAAAGGTGTACCAGAACAACCAATCCAACTCACCATCCTTGCACTGTGCCATTTAGACTCGTCTTTTTCTGAAGACCTGAGTTGTGATGTTTTGGTATTGTCCAAAAGCAACTCATTGAGTGACAAAGACTCCTGCCCTACCACTAAGTGTTGAACAGCTGAAATGCAAGGCAAAGCTACTTATCCGTAAATAGAAGATAACATTTTCCCAACACGTCTAAAATATTATTTTTAAAAGGAAAAGAACAAATAGAGAAAAGTTTTTAAAAATTGGAAATTTCCTTTTCCTAATAAAATTTCTTGCAGAGAGCATTTAAAAAGATTCCATACCATGAACCCATAGGACTCTTGGATATATGTCTACACCTCAAGTCTTAGAGATTAGGTGTACTCTTCCAACAACTCTAACTTCAGTGTGCTCGTCTTGTTGGTCAGCGATGTTGGGGTTTCTTGATATCCTAAACTCTCATTACTTCCTGCCTGGATTGTATATAAATTTCCAAATCAGATGTTTCTTATTCCAGTTTCTCCTAATCTGTCCTGCATGTCCTTTTAGATTAGTTTTTAGTAAATCATATTAAACCAAGTGTTCCCTTCTCAGAAATGCTTGATGGATCCCCACTGCACGCTTATAAAATTCAAACTCTTTGCTACATGTGCAATATGCTTAAAAGCTGATTTTTATCACTGCTCTGATTTTTATTACCCACTAGTATTATTTTACATTCCTATGGTTATGCTATATTGTAACTTGCTCTTTATTCTGTCGGCCCTGAACTTTTTGATCTATGCTTTTATTCTCTCGTCTCTCTGCCTAGAGTGGACTTGCTCTCTACATTGTAATGTTCAGGGCCATTTAAATGCTCCAATGACGCCTTCCTTGTTCCTCTATCTGGACATACGCCTTCCTTTATCTTAAGTTTCAGAAGAGTTTGTCCATCTTAATAAATTGCGTCTTATATTATCCTTACTTATGTACACTTTTTTTCCCTCCTCTTCCTGATTGAAACTTTATTGAGGGCAAGCACCGAGTCTTATACACCTCATTTAATCCACCACCCCAAGCACCTTCCTTGTTCTAGCTAAATGTACCTGACCCCTCTAGACTAGCTTTTATGTCACTTCTAAATAAAATCTGGTCCTCATTCTTCTTAAAGTTAATGCTGCTATTTAAACTGAGGAGAAGTAAGATAGGGAATGATTGCTATACTAGACAAAAAATTGTGTTGAAGCCAATTACAAAGCACTAAAATGCCAGCAAATATGTGTTTTTTAAGAGTACTGTAATGTTGGGGCCGGCCGGGGGGCGCAAGTGGTTGGGTGCGCACCCTCCGCTGTGGTGGCCCAGGGTTCGCCGGTTTGGATCCCGGGCGTGCATCGACACACCACTTGTCAAGCCATGCTGTGGCGGCGTCCCATATAAAGTAGAGGAAGATGGGCACAGATGTTAGCTCAGGGCCAGTCTTCCCCAGAAAAAAGAGGAGGATTGGCATCAGATGTTAGCTCAGGGCTGATATTCCTCACACACACACACACACACACACACACACACACAAGAGTACTGTAATGGTGCGTCCATATTAACCTCATGTGTGTATTTCCTCTCTATAGGTGATTTTCTCCCACCTCCACCTCCACCTCTAGAGGATCCCAGTACTCTTCCATCTGGCTCTGGAAACTTCCCTCCTCCACCACCGCTTGATGAAGGTGCTTTCAGGGCACAGGTAAGATCTGTGGTTGAAGTCATGTTTAGAAGCCATGCTAGGAAGCTCATGAATTCTGCGCTTGTTTCTGTAGTGGATAAATGTTTATCCAGAGCCTAAAGAAAGCTTTACAACTCACAAAGAGCTAAGGTACCTTAATGCAAAATACTCAACTCAAGCTTCTCAGAGTTCTGCTGGCTTGCTTCTGAAGCCCTAGAAATCCTTTTACCTACTAATTTTGTTTTGAAACTCAAATCTATTTTTTAGGAATGCCATTTGAGAAGTCCATATTTTCTTGTTATCCTGGGGACACACAAACATGCTTTCTTATTGCCTTTTTTCTCTATCCACACACATTGTATTCTATATGAGTAAGGCTGATATTTTCAGGCTCTGGTTGGTCACTGTGGGTCCTAACTGGTCAGCAATATCTTTCTAACAAAAACAACAACAAACATCCTTAGCCTTTTCTCTTCTGAGTGAGGTCAAGGATGCACATTATAGTACGTTTTGGTTATACACAACTATTGTGCTCCCGAGAATGTTGATTACAAAGTAAGTCAGGGCTAGAGTCAGAAGCAACATTAGAAGTAGTTCTCAGCCTGTGATCCTATAGGGGCACTGGTGACCAGCTGTCACCATTTAGGCAGCTAAATGCCATTCATATCAGGAAGGAAAACTAAATCACAAAGTCATAGAATTATTGATATTGGAGTGAAAATGTTACTATAGATATGTTGAGAAAAAAATTAGTCCTTATCTTTTAGAGAAAAATCATAAATATTTGTGGAGGAAATGGAATGGTGTCTGGTATTTGCTTCAAAATAATAAACATAGGGAGCTCCTGAGTGAGATGATAGGTGAAAAAAGATTGTTATGAGTTGATAATTGTTGGGTGCATGGAGGGTTATTCTATTGTTTGGTCTACCTTTATATATGTTTAAAACTTCCCTATATAATAAATTTTAAAGAGAAAAAGCCATAGAAAATAACTACTGAAATGGTTCAGTCCATTGTCTGCCTTTCTTTCTCCTAAATTTCAGGTTGGGAAAGACAAAGGAAGAAATGATTCATTCATTCAACAAATATTCTGTGTGCCTGTATACACACCCTTATAGCACAGGAATTCTATGGCAAAAAGCCAGACGGGGTTCTGCCCTCATGAAACTTACATGTTAGTGAAAGTAGTGGAAGTAAACAAAATATATACATTATGAAGTACATTAGAATGAGACCAGTGTTCTGGGTGGGGGAAAAGGGAAGAGGATATGGCCTACTTGGGGTGGGCGTGGTCAAGAAGGCCTCACTGAGAAGGTGACCCCTAAGCAAAGACTTGGAGGAGGAGAGGAGGGATTAAACCATGTGGATTTCTTAGGGAGTATGTTTTCATATAGTAGATCGTAAGTAATAGAAGAAGCTTTTTATATTATCGATCAGTTGACATTAGCAAGTTCCAGTTATAACCAGTGAGCTCCAATTCAGTTTGGAGACTCGATCTTTTAAAGGTTATTAAAAGTTTTATGTCTTAGATATATATGTCCCAAAGTTCCTACATTTTATCTTGTGGTAAGGTAGTAAAATCAAAGATCAGATGCCAGTAATGGACAGGAGTCCTACAAAGTTTATTTTATGCAACAGATAGATCCTTTAGCAAATAAATATAACATGGTCGATTTTCCTTATTTTTAGTCATTTTTTATTAACAATGAAAAAAAGTTTGCCTTTTGTATATCTTTACTCTTATTTTGTTGGGGGTAGTTCTTTGCATATTATTTAATTTACACAGTTAAAAACTTCACTTAGTTCATTTGCTCTCTTGGGTTTTTAGAGAAACTATTTTGTTGCATTTAAAATCTTTAATTCCAAAAGTTTGTTTGATCTTGTGATAGAAGACTTGTGTTTGAATACTAATTGAGTAATAATTCTAGTTATGTGGTCTTGAGCAGGTCACACTAAGTCCTACTTTCCTCATAATTAAAAATAAGGTAACTATATCTACCTCTAATAATTAAATGAAATACATATGGATTTGAAATTGCTAAAGTATCATGGCAATACAGATATTTTGATGTTATAATTATTACTATATAAAAATAACAACGGCAGGAATAATAATAAGGCTTTGCCAAAGGGTTTCATTGAGAAAAATTCAACATGGGGCTTTCATAAGATTGCAAAAAGTCTTTTTCTTTATAGACCTTGTCCTGATAGCTATACTGAAACCATGGCTTTGTTTTTGAAATGGAAGGAAATAAACAAAAAGCCTGTTGCCATGTTGGCTTATGTTCTCTGCAAAACAGAAGGAGGAAGGATAAAAAATGAAATAGAGTTTGCCAAATCGAAAAGGACAAATCTGGTAGGAGAGGCGTGTTATTAGTGAATATATGGAAGATTGTTGGCAAGTTTAAGAGAAAACAGGGATGCCCTTCCCTTGGGGGCAGTGACATGATGTGATAGTGGCTTGGCCCTGCTCTCACCATGTTTGCACCACCTTTAGATATAAGCTTTAATGGAGCCCAAAGTAATATAATCATGGAGAAAATTTTGCACTTTTTCCTCTCATCCATGGTGAAAGCTCATGTTGCCAAGTCCAAATTATAGTTGGTAAATGTGTGTTTTTATGAAGAAGTCTGTTTATGTTTCCAGCCAAATTTTCAGGCCATAGCCAAAAGAACGTCTCCCAAGTATGACTATAAGAATTATAAGATTTTCAGCGCTGGAAGGGAACTTAGAGATTATTCAGTGCGACTCTGGCGCCAGGCATCTAGTTATAACCTTTTCAAGTACTTGCTAAGTGAATTAACTCTCTCTCTTTGCAAATGGGGAAACTGAGACCCAAGAAGGTATGGATCCTGTAGTTGCTGACAGAGCTCTTACTGAATTTGAGAAATCTCAACTCTTGGATTTGTCCTTCTTCCCACTGTACCAAATAGGCTGTGCACATGGTTTTGCTTTATTTCTCTACCAGCTTGTAAGGCTCAGAGGTTCAGATGAGGGGGTTGCATGCTTTTATTTGAAAAGACCAGGAGTTTTGCTTGGCTTTCTGAAGTTTTGATATATGCTGTACAATTTTTTTTTTTTTTAACAAAAGGCAAATATTTACTGTCAAGAATTCGCATTTTGAGAATCTCATTTTATTGGGAAAAAATGAATCTTGGAAAACAAATGAGGGCTTTATCTTTTTTTTTGTTTTCTGTCAGGATCAGTTTGACGTCAGTGCCTGTGAGGTTTAGAGTGACCACTGAGCAGTCACTTCATTCATTCCTTTTTCTTCATTCATTTATTATAAATTGAATGCTTTCTATAAGTCAGGCACATGTACTAGGGATTATAGCCTTAGAGCTCGGCATCGTGGGTCTAGTGCCCTGAGTTTCAACCTTGGGACTTTTAGCTTTGTTCTGATGTGATGCTACAGTTGGTAATTTTTTCCTATTTCAGCCAGCTAATGGGAAGGTATATAGCACTGCTTAAAGCAGTTTCAAAGGGGGCGAATGTCTCATAAAATTTCAGATTTGCAAGGGAATTAGAGATGATAACTCAAGCCCCTTTCTTTTGTTTAAATCTTCTGATTTTTTTCAATTTAACAAAATATTTATAGGTGACTATAATAGGTGAGGCAATGTTGAAGAATAAGGAGATGGATCAGATACAGTACCCCCAAATCAAGTTTTGGAGGTGCATACATACTCAGCTTTTAAATTAAGGTATTTCATGGTAAATTATGCCCTAGTCATCATGCTGTGATCATAAGCACAATCTAAGTTCTATGTTATGGTAGAGTTGGGGGCAGGATAAATTAACTATGACTGGGGAGCAATAGAACTGAAATTTCGATGGCTGGGTAGGACCTTAATTTTCAGATGGCGGAATGAATTTTTCAGCAGTAAAGTAATTACAGAGGAAGGAAAGCATAAAGTAGGTGTGGTAGGCCTGCATTTCCAGAAAGGCTGTGGAATTTGCCCTTTATTCTGAAACCATTGACAATTTATTGCAATTGTTTGCTATTATTTTAAATAGAAGGGTGGCATCCCCAGATCTGTTATTGGATGCCAAGTGGTGCTTTTAACACACCAGAAGGCAAAAATATGTCACACTTGTGGGAAACCCTATGCAAACAGCTCTGAGTTGTCTGGTAGACTTCCTTGAGCTCCACAGAGACGTATCTGCTGATACCTGATAGCTTTGAGTTTAGGTGCCCGATATTTAGCTTCCTCTTTTCATGACATCTTTGCTTGACTTTTCTTCATGACTGCCCGATGGTATCTCCTAACTCTGCCTCTGTCTCTGTGCCCCAGTTCTGTGGCTTGCTTTTACTTGCCAACTATCCAGTGATTATACACTTTTACTTTCCATCTCTCCTTTTCCACTCATTCAGGCAGGATGGTCTCATTTGCTACTGTAACTCCAGTCCCTCCACTTCAGAGAACAGACCATTTGTGCATCGCTGGTTACTGCAAATGTTAACAACTTCTTTCTCTTATTGAACTGAAATTTGTCCCTTTATGATTTACTCACAGTGATTTTCTTCCTACCCTCTTAGAAAATGATGCACATTCGCAGGAACTGTCAGGCTGGGAGAGAGAGAGGTTTTGTCCGCCTCAAGGAGTTGATCAATAAAGCTACTGAAAGAGGTGACTTTGCTGAGGAGAGAGTGAGAACAGTGTAACGGTATGCACTGAACTCGGGGAAATGCCCAGAGTTAGTTGAAAAGAGAAGGAAGAAGAGAAACTTCTGAAATCATTTATGGTCTTGTCTTAAAGTCAGTCTCCAAAAGTTTGCAGGCCAACTCATTTCTATTCTTGTGAAAACATTCAAAGCTCATATATTTGTCTGGTGAATGGTGGATTATAGTCATTTATCCACTTACCCATTTCATGTATTTTATTTATGAATAATAATTGTAAAGTCTACTTCAGTTTTAGCTGAACTGGCACTAGAATCTGTGTCTTACGACTCTTAGTCTAGGACCATCATGGTCTCTGGGATGGAACGACAGAATTTTACTTGTAGTCATGGAGAAC